CCTGCATGCTGGCTGCCACCTTTCCCGAGACCGTCGGGGCCAGCGGGGATGTGGAGGTGTCTGGCTCGCGTGTGCGTGCACCCCCAAGGGAGAACGGCGGGGCTGGCCGGTTTCTCCCCAGTGAGCCCACATGCCCTACTGCAGTTTTTAAGAATGTACGTTATGTGTGGATTTCATAGAAGGTTTTTGTTTTGTTTTAAATTGTATTTCCCAGAGGAAAATAGCTGGGAAAAAATCACCTCCCCACGGAGCGTGGTCACCCCACAATTTCTCCTCCTCTATCCCATTGGCATTGGAGCACGCATGTGCGTGCCCTCAGCTTTCTCGGGGTGGGCCGGGAATTGAACCCAGGCCTCCCATGGCAGCCAGCCGTGGCGGGGCCCGGGCACGTCCAGTATTCCCTCCTGTGTCCCCAGCTGTGCCGACTGCCCTGGTCACGGTCAGGGCATGGTGAGAGGTCCCCCTGCGCTGCCCTCGCCAAGCGTGTAGCGCTGCAGCACGTCGGGCAGTGCGAGGACAGGGAGGCGGGGCGGAGGCCCGTGGTCAGTACGCGGACCTGAATGAACCCGGGGAGCGTCCCTGGGTAGATGTCCAGTGGAGGGGTCCGGGCTGTGCGGGGACGGGGGGCTTTTACTCGAAGGCAGGTGGGCGCCAGGAGGGCTGTGGGCAGGGGAGGGCTGGGCCCTGACTCAGGTTCTGGTCCCTTGGAGTTTTCTGAAGGAGCCCACCTGAGCCAGCTGCAGTGGTTCCCCCCACCCCATATGTGCCCCCAGGACAGGGTCAACCACCCCAGGTGGCCCCCCAGGCTCTGCCGCACCTGACCCCTCTGGCAGCCTCCACGCCCCTCACACCAGCCTCAGGGCCTTGGCACATGTTGCCCTCCACTGTCCAGCCCCGCCTCTACCCGCTGCCTCCTCCAGGCAGCTCTCCCTGGATGGCTCAGCCAAATTGCCTGCCCTGTCGGCTATGTCCCCTAGTAAATGCAGGCCCAGAGCGCCGTGAGAGGGGCAGGATCTCCGCTGTAGCCCTGTGAGCCTGCGGGCGATCGAATTGTAGGGACGGGATCTGATTGGCTGAGCTTGGAGCCTGTGCCCACGGCTGCTCCAATCAGAGTGGCCAGGGGCGGGCCTGACTGCCCAGCAAGGACCGTCCTGGCCTGTTCTCACAGGGGAGGCCCTGGGGGCCATCGGGAACCCCGAAGTTCTGGAGCTCCTGAAGCAGTATTCCAGCGACCCGGTCACCGAGGTAACCAGCCCAGCCCCTCCCCAGCCCCTCTGGTTGCCAAGGTAACACTTGGCCAAGGATGCTCCAGGGGTGGGGCAGTGGCAGCCAGGATGGTCACCTGCTGTCGCCCATTTCGCAAAACTGCCATGGCTGTCCCCACCCGGGCCTCGAGGTCCCGAGCAGACTTGGCCTCTCCTTCCCCTCCCGCTTCCAGGCCCTTCCTCGCCCCCGCGGCCTCCTCGGTCTCCCCGCCACCTGCCCACACTCCTTTTCACGCCCGTGTGACCAAGATAGCCACACCACACTTCACCCTCGGAGGGTACCTGCGGTGGCACGTGGGACAGTTCTGGGACATTCCTGCAGCCCTCCCCAGCCCCTGCGCCCTCAGGCCATTTCTGTAATGGGCCCTAACGTGACCTCCTTGTCACGTCACTCCCTGAGCCGGGTGTGTCCCAGGCCTGTCCCAAGGTCCCCTCCCTGCTCACCGCTCAAGAGCGGCCCCTGTGGACGTGGACAGCCACATTGTAGCTGCTCAGCCGTGGGTGGGCACGTGGCACCCTCCACTTCCTGGCGGTGACACCTGCGTTTGCACATGCGTGTCCACGCCCCACCCAGCCCTGGCACCCGCCCGGCCATGAAGGTCTGTCCCATTACTGGTTTCTCAGTTCCCCATGGACAGTTGGGGTCCTCACTGCCGCCCCCCCACCCCGCCCACCACCTCCCAGAGGCCGCCCTGTCGGCCCCCCCACCCCCGTCCCTCCCGTCACTCTCCCCGGGCTTCATTCATTTCCAATCTGTATTGATGATTCCTGCCAGACAGCCCCGAGGGTGGAGCTGGGACCCCTGGCCCCACAGTGTCCCCAGCGGCTGGCCCAGGACTCTGGGTGTCCCCGCAGGTGGCCGCGACGGG